TAAAATGTCCGTAATTACAGCGCGCATATCAAGTTTATCATTAAAAATCGATAACTCATCTCGATCTTTTTTTATCGATAAAAAACCTTATCGAAACCCAGTTATAAAATTATATCTTCTACACCTTTATTGCTAGAGTCTCCAAATTTTTAATGTATGCTTATATGCAATTTATACAATTTCGGTTTTTGTTAAAATTTACCCCCCACCTCTAAATTCACCCCCTCACCCTCACTTTTGTAAAAAGCGTATTTCAAATACTAGAGACTTGTGCTTTGGCAATTACATGCATATTCATGTTATAATCATAATCTAAAAGTTTCATAAAGATCGTACGTCCATAAAAAAAGTTATTAAACAATTAAGTTCTCATAGTAAGCGCACACTGCAGCCCATGCGTGTTTATGCGTGGTTGCTTGTATGTGTATGTGTGTGTGTGTATGCGTTTGTGTCTGTATGCGTGTGTGTGTGTATGTGTGTCTGTATGCGTGTGTGTGTATGTATACCTGTGTGTGCGTACGTGCGTGTGTGTGTGTGTGTGTGCGTGTTTTTGTGTGTAAGCTGAAAGTCGCGAAAAAGTATTGAAATATCTATTGCTCCAAGGGTTCAGGGGATCTCGTAGTCGAGCAGTCTCGACTAGAGCTTTCTTACTTGTTTTTTAGATGAAGTTAAATTATTTTCACTATCACCCCTATGAGCGCTTCGACTTATTATCTTGTTGGAGATGTCTGACTACGGCACTTTTACGTCATTTGAATTCCTTCCAACTGTAACAATCTCTTGGTTATTATTAACAATACAAAAGCTAATATGATGATATTAGTATTTTGAATTCACTTGCATATCTATTCGCTGCTTAATTACTAATCATTTTAATTAGATTTGCATCAGATTCCAAGAGACTAAATGCAGATACTACTACTAACTAATCCATAGTGTTAGAGTGTATCAAAATTCTTAAATCATTGTAAAAATTGTTACACACACTCGCACACATGTCTATCTATGTATATAAAATAATTAATTTTAATATACGGATTACATAAGAGTTAAGTTTTAGGAATCAAATTTGTAAGCTTATCATATTTAAGGACGAAAACTTACCGACAAAACTAGCAGCACTCATGACAGCCTTGTACACTGAATTTGTTTCAAAATCGCACTGGGATACAATAGTTATGTATGACATACCCATTGTCTCGTTTATGACCATCATTAGTAGGAGTCCTGATGCAATTAGAATTATCCACTGCACGCATCCAAATCCTTGAGCAAATAGTTATTTAATAGCAGGGTATTTTTATCACAGCTGTAAATCCTTTTAAAAGTTTGCCCTACCAATCAATTCAAGAACTTCTTCATATTCATGACCATCACTCATGGATTTTTGGGATGGCTTCGATTCTGCATCTTGCTGGTTCACATTCGTCATTTTAAGAGCTGTAGTAATATTGGGAGAAGTAAACGATCCTTACCGAAGCGTCTTTGAAATGTGACTGACGAGGCACAATGTGCTCTCTAACATATAAAGATAGCCAAGATCGTTTGATATGGTTTCCAAAGGCCGAGGGCTTCTTCAAGTATTATAGTAGTCTTAACTTAAAAGCTATTAATAACTTTGGGAAATGTATATAAACTTCGCGATTTTTATATACATATTTGGATATTATAGCACTATCCGCGAGATCGGAGTCTTGCTCGCTCACACTCGACTATACGCTAAGTGAAGACATGTGAGCACTTCAAAAACATTTTCACGAGACTGTTGGGCGCAATCCGAACGAGTTTTTGCGCCATTTTGTAGTCATTTAAACATGGAATTATCACATCAAATCCAATAGCAAGGAAAATGAAATTAAAAAAAAAAAAGAAGCAAAAACCGGGTTTCGTTGAGTGAACGTGAATCAAAGAAGGCCAAGGTGGGTCTGTCCACTGGCAAGGCTATAATCCCAGTATTTTGGGATTCACTTGGTGTCATTCACATCAATTACCTTGATATTAGAACGAAAGCCGGCATATACTATTTTAATACATCTGTTAGTAAAATATGGACTCGAAGCAAAAGCGGAGAGTCAGAATATTCACTTAGTGTTAACAGAAGCAAATGCCTATCAGTCAGCGACTTGCCAACCACCCCTCGAATAATCATTGAAAATTCAGTTATCAGACAAAGATAAATAAGTACGGAGATGACATTGGGGTAATTTATTAATTTATTAGATATGTTCCACTTCGGTATAAGGAGGCAGGGAAAACTCTTACCGTCAAGATTAATGCTTTTGTTTATTGAAGATGAATTTCAAATTGAATGAGATGATTGCTATTAAAAAATTATATACAATTAATATTCTGTTAAAAGCAGTTTTTCCTTTGGGTTATGCGAAAATATGAGTATTGTTTATAGGCAAAGGTGAAAAAGGTGAAGGCTGGTGTCTACACATAATGTGATGCGATAGCAGACTCGTTTCATACTTAGGTGCGAGTGAGACATATGAAGGTGTTGCTGGGAGGCTGCACTTGTCACTCGTATATGCAGCTATAAAGATCTTTATAACTTTTATGACACCTCGCAGTTTAATGTGTGAAAAACAAAAGTAACACCTATTAAAGTTGTTACACATTAAAAAAATAATACTTGTAAACAACGTTGGTTTATTGGGACACGGTACTAGTATCTGGTATCTGCTTCCGTTTGTTTACCTAGTGAATATGATACTTTATGGCCAGTGAAACTGCTACTGTTGAAATGCTTTTTAGTGGACATTTTTAAGTTGTTAAAAATTATTATTTTGAGGAATATACTCCCCCAACTAAAAAATACACTTTGCCGACTATAGATGTATAAAACAATACAATATATACATATAGTTAGGCTTATAGATCCTTAGCTCTCGAATATATTTGTACCGGTAGACAGGCAGATGGATAAGTAGAAAGATTTTACTGTAAGCCAATTTATGATCTTCAGTTCGTGAGAATTTTGAATGATTTTACACTGACATTTACATTTTGATATTCGTTGTTTGATGCTTTTCATAATTAAGGCAGCCTTTAGAAGCTTAGAAATATAAATTGTATCCCCTATTTTCATATTTAGCGCTGTATTTTATGTACGTTTTTTGAGAAGTTATAACTAATACTAGTGGGGAGCTGAAGAATATAATATCAATAGACTAACAGAAAGAGGGGCAAATGTATGTATGTGCATTATGCATGTCGACGCAAGTGTAAGAAATACTGTGATGTTATAAGGCATGGCTAAATCCATTTCCGTAATATTATATAAAATATATTATGTAACCAGTAAGAGTGCTCTAGTCGAGACTCCTCGACTAGGAGATATCCTGAACCCTACAAGCTGATACTCTAATCATTCTGCACTACTTTTATGAACGCATGTATCCACACGCACGCATTAGCACGCACTCTGCTAACTGCACAGTAAGCAGCGACTGCGCGTGGACTGCAGTCTGGGCAATAGTATGAGAGTTTATTTCTTATGAAACTTTTTGAACTTTAAAATGTGTGTACATTGCAAAGCAGAAATCTCTACTATTTAAAATACATTTCTTAAAATCCAAAATATGTTAATTACAAAATCTTCGTATTTATCAAATGTAAATACACAGTAAAGCTGAAGTATACAGGTATAATAGTGTTCAAATTACGCTAAAAGAAAAAAAAAAAAACGAAATCAATTCATCGTCGATCACCCTCGACTAGGGTACTCTTACTTGTTTTTGCAATATGAATTCTGCAAAAGGGAATGTCGGAAAACAATATCAACTATAACGAAAGTTATTCTCAGTGTACGTTATATTGTTTGTCGCCATATTTGTATTAAGTAAAATACAATATTTTTCTCTTCTCTACAGTTCAAGATAGTTGTAAAGTCAACTATGTGTAACATAAACAAAATCTATTCACTAACTAAAAAGTATTAAAAAATAAAACAAAACGACTAAGAAAGCTCTAGTCGAGACTGCTCGACCGTCGAAATCCCCTGAGCCCATCGAAGAATTGATATTTCACAATAACTCTTCGGATGTTTCTGGTCACACAAGAAACACACACCCAGAAAAGCATATGGATGCATAACCACACATTGGCTGCAGTGTGGGCTTACTATGTAAACTTAGTTAATGGACTATGATCATGAAACTTTCAGATCGTGATTATAACATTTAAGTGCGTGTGTGCCAAGTCTCTAGTATTTCAAATACGCCCTTTACAAAAATAGGAGTGAAGGGGTGAATATAGGGCTGGGGGGTAAATTGCAAAAAAATTGAAATTCTATATTATATATATGAATCTACATTCAAAATTTGTAGACTCTACATCTAAAGACATAGGAGATATAATTAAATAACTAGTTTTCGATAAGGTTTTTAATCGATAACTAAGTATCCGCCTCCTTCTGCCTTTAATTTATACAGCTTAAAGTATTGCTTTCCAAATAGACTTTAAATATTATACGCTGTCAGCTACCAAAATAGTATCAAAAATTTTAGAGTTTGCAATCGGTCAAAAATAAATATTCTCGTTTACGTAGAGGAGAGATTATATTAGTTTTCGTCAATGTCCATTTATTCATAGGTATGTATGTACACAAATCATTTCGCTGCTATTGGAAATACATGTTGGAAGCAGTTGGAGGAGTTAACGTTACTGAGCTTTAGAGACAAATTTCACAATTCTATAGGCCTTGTGAGATTGACAAAAGTAATAGTTTATGTTGTATACTTTTCCGCCTAAACATTCCGAACTCGCGGCAAGAATGAATAGTTTCGTAGTATCGATAACTACACACGATGAATTTCAATTGTGGCTATCGTTTTAAATAGATAAGTAACAGCTGTGCACAAACAAAAACACGTATTTTAATTAATTCACTCAGCACGTGTTATATGGTTAGTGGTAAGAACGATTTGTAAACAGCTGAAAGTGATATCTGTATTTTTAAAATCGTAACTGTGACTTTCGCCGCATCCCTGGTATTCACTGTGCTAGTCAGAAGTGGAATCTCTAAATTTCTAAAATGTTTCATCTCTAATTTATTTACATCTTAAGTTTTAATAATAAAAATTACTTTATGGCAGATTTTCAAGAGCAATTGAAAAATTATCGTCAGCAAAAGCAAAAGGAAAGATTGTTAAACAGCTTCAAATTAAAACTTAAACGTTTTTGGATGCTGGGCACTGGCGCGGACGCAACTCAGGGAAAATGTCAAACCACAATCGAAGTTAAGGTATGAAAGGTCATATGTGGCAACTGCAAGCTGAAACGTAAACAATTTTTCTCTTCTTATTTTAGCCAGCCTCAGATAAGTCTTCTGACATTAATGATACACCAGAGGAATATGTGTCTTCAGACGATGAAATTGAAGCGTCACATAGAGTCGTCAATGCCAGCGAAGATAAGAATAATAAGTGTTTAAAATATACTCTGTGGGCGGTCTACTTCCTGTTTTGGGTAACATTGTATGTGATAGCAATTGAGCTGAAGTTCGGGTTGGTCTTCTTGATGTTCTCCGCGTTATTTGGAATATATTTCAACACCAGAACTGGCCCAAAGGACCCCAACGAAATAAGTGCTTACAGTATATTTAATAAGAACTGTGAAAGTATAGACGGCACTTTAAAGGCGGAGCAATTCGAGCGAGAAATCCGCTACGGCTCTGGTAGCGTGCGATAAGTGCAATTTATAAATATTGAAATATGTATATGTAAAATATTTGGCATAAACTCGTGATTGGAATTTTTCCCAAGATCTGTACTTTAAAATTTACTTAAAACGCAGTATGCGACTTTTATATAAATTTGATGCATCAACGTGTTTATGATACAATGCCCTTAATTTATAAGAAAAAATAATCGTCATTAAATTATATACGATGAAATTGTAGAAATGTACTATATACCTTTGGATGATTCTTGCATGGCACAATTAGTATTCGTATATATATAAATTAGTTTATGTAAAGGCTTCTATGCTTTAAGTTTTTGTACATACTCATTGACGTTTAATTACAGATTATTTGAAATTTAGTTATTCTAGTAGAATGTTTGTTTATAAGACAGCACATTTTCAGGAATGATAACTATTAAGATTAATAAGGCTTCATCAATAGGCTAATACATTCATATCTAAAATAACAACGGCTTCTCTTAATATTATTTTTCTATATCTATACGCCTTTATCCAAGTATGCAGTATTTATACAGATATTCAATATTCCCTTTAAATGTCTAGTATTTTTAACTCGATAGCCAAGTTAAACGTTGTCTTATAAAATTAAATGGCAGGCTTAATTTAACAGAAACAATGCACACTAACATGTATGCAAATAGTATTCACATTTGTTTGAATTCATTTATACAATCTTAGAATATATTAATATCTTATATATATATGTAGGTAGCTGCACAAGCAAAAAAAAGTAGATGAAGTGTTTTAATCCAGAATCAGACTCGACTTTTCTGCAGGTTTTTGACGAGGTGAATCCCAAAGTGATTTTGGAAAAGCCGGAGCTCTACCAGAAAGCCATGAACAATTCCACTCCTAAACAAGTAAAGCTCTAGTCGAGACTGCTCGACTACGAGATCCCCTGAACCCATTGAGCAAGTGAAATTTAATAAATCTTTCTGCCTACACAAGAAACAACACATGCACAGATGTACATACGCACACACGCACGCACGCATAAACTGCAAAGTGGGCTTACTATAGGAAATGAATTGTTTAATAACTTGTGCTTCTCGTGGTTGGACTATTTTCATGAAAATTAGATCGTGATTATATCATTGAAATACGTGCATTTGCCAAAGCAGAAGTTTCTATTATTAGAAATACGCCTTTTACAAATTTATGGGTGAGAGGTTGGATATAAGGGTGGGGGTAAACTATAAAAAAAATCGAGATTTTATTAAATACATATAAATCTACATTCAAAATCTTAAGATGTAGCAGACATAAATTTATTACCGATTTTCGATAATGTTTTATTCGATAACAAAAAATCGGGATGTGTTATCGATTTTAGGAGACATACTCGATATTTGCGTTATATACGGGCATTAAAAAAAAAACTAAGTCTCTACCTCTTATATCTTCTGAGGTCGACGCGTTCATTCATACAGACAGATGGGCAGACAGATGGACAAGGCTAAATCGACTCAGCTCGTCGTCCTAATCAAGAGTATATGTATATACTTTTGTAAAAAACCATTATACCCTGATTTGCCATTTTCGATGGGTTCAGGGTATAAGAATTCGTTGAGTTTTACAAACACCATACTCTCAAGAGACTACGTTAAAAACCATTTGAAAAGTTCCTCCTTTTTTTTGCCTGTTTTGTATGTCTAATTTATGAGAAATATTTCTATTATTAATGTTAATCTGAATTCCATGATTCCACAGTGGATGCGAGGTTTGGAATCGGCAGTATCTTATCAAGTTAAGCAGAGCTCCTGTTTTGCAAGGTAAAACTCAAAGCAGAATTGGGAGTGCTAGGATTTCGGTATGAACGACTTCTGCGAGGGTAAGAGGCACATTATACTAAGCGCCATGACCATATGCCAGACAGAGTGGACAATGTGATAGTTCTGCTTGGTCTGGAGGAATGCGTAGCAGACCAGGCCAATCATCACAAGCACCAAGCCGAGCGGCATGAAGATGGTGAGGTAGCGTCGAGCAGGGAACCACTTACGTGTTTTGGCGCAGCGCAAGCCCCAGCTGGCGGAAATGAGGCAAATGCCCGTTAAAGCTGGAGCCAGGAATACCCAGAGGCTCTGCTTGTTGAGCTCTGTGCCGAATGCAAGCAGAATCGCCCCGAACATGTTCAGCAGGGAAACGAACTGCTGAGGCATGTGGGCCATTGCAATAAGTGTGACCCAAATGGCCAACAGGCCGCAATAGAAATCGCAGAACTGAAGCACGCTGATCTTCACCAAGCAGAAGCTGTATTCGTCTTCTCCTGAGTCACACGCGTGATAGAAGATCGAGAAGAACATGGCAAAGAAGTATATGACGCCTTCGGTGTAGTAGCGGCGTCGAAAGGCCAAGTAAATGCTCGGAATGAAGAGCAGGTTGCTCAGCGTCAGCAGTAACGAGGCCATTAGGATTGACATACTAGATGGCACCTGAGAGTCCTCGGTGCAGTCCCAGCCGCGGTAGCCCTTCATGCAAACGCAAGTGGAAAATACAAAGCCTCCCGACATATAATGGTAGCACCTCCCAAAGCGACCACAGCGCCCAGCGACACACGGACTCGAAGATATGGAGAACACCACTGAAGTGTTGCAGTTCTCTAACGCAAAGCGCTGCTCCGTTGCCGACCTGTGGTGCACATCAAAGAGACGTGTCATTTCCGAGTAGTTCTCGGTGCACTTTGAGTCCATCATACACTCTTTTACTTTGAGGGTTTCAGTTTCGTTCATGGCGGCCAAGCAATCCTTCGATCCAATACAATTCTCATAGATTGTGGCATTTCCAGCGCAGGCACAGGGACTCCGCATCTCTTGCAGCAAATCCCGGTGCTGCCGAACGAACTCCTTGACGCTGTCGATGATGGTAACCCGCGCGGTCTCGGCTCCGTGGCAAAACAAGCCCATCGTGACGAACCTGTATTTTATTATTATACATATGGTTATAAACAGAAATCGCCTCAGATAAGATGATATCTGAAATATCAAAGGTATTGTTGCTCTTTACACTTACCAGAGGCCACTTTCCGGGAAGGGTACATGTGTCAGACCCACTATTTCGGTGTTATTTACGATGCTGGATGCGGGCAGCAAGCGCTGACCATAGCGGCACTTGTCGGGCCAGGTTGGAACGCCTGGGACGCCCAGGTGCATGCATACAATGATTTGCATACTTTGGTTATTACTGGGCTGCTGCTCCTGATCCATCAGGACTTCGACGTCATCTAAATTACCCACTAATTTCTCAGCCAGAATGCCACCTCTTTCTGAGGGCGGCGTCATTGTGGGTGAAGCCAGCTTCAGCTCACTGATGATGCGAACTTCCGGCTTCATAGAGACGGCAAAGGTGAGCGTACCGCCAATATCGTGTACCTCGCCTAGCTCGAACGCAAAAGCGGCAGGAGACAGTGCCGTTAGGTTAAGTAGTGCCGGAACTGTTCCGTTTATATCGGGTTGCAAGTCGAAATCGAACATGAAAAACTCATGATAGCTCTGTCGCAGCAAGGGATAGAAATCCATTCCGCGACGGTGAACCGGTTGCCAATTAGATATATGCTCAGTCTTAGAGTGAAACTGAGTTCCATTGGATTCTCTGTCCAGCTCTGACTCCACTGGATCGAGGTCTATTTGGATTTCATAGGAAATTTCATGCACTTCCTGTCCTGCTTCCCCTTTCGCAGTCGAAAAATATTCAGTTTTTGAAAAAGCTTTGCCTTGCCCTATGTGAGAATTCAACAGAAACTCGTCCGCTGAGCTTGCAAACCTGAGCAGGGCGTAATGCCATGTGTTGGGCTGAACATTGAACTTAATTGAGATTTCTTCAGTTTGATTTGGTCTAATAATTGTACTGTGTAAGTAGTTGTACTCATTGCCGGCCAGGCTTGGCGGCCCACTACGGATTAGTGGAAATGCGTTTGCCTGAATGTGGAAACCGATATCTGGACAGTTCTTGCAGACCTCGCCAAACGTTAGCCGCGCCGTAGCCACATCCGTGTCGGAGGGCACATAAAACTTGTAAATTATTTCATTGTTGGTTTCCAAATTTCCATCCTTCTTGTTAGTGTTATTTATGATACTGTCTGTATTTCTATCTTCGACTGTGTCTGGCTCAGAAACAAAAGCGGATCTGTTTAACGTATGAGTAATATTTTCACTTGTAGCATCTGGTTCCTTTCTTTCTTTCTGAAGTTTCTTGGCATGCTCTGTCGTCAAAATCTCTTGTAGTAGTTGGGAGTTTCCAGAATTATGTTCGGTAACCATTTCGTTGCTCGAGCTCCTATTGGAGCTTATATTGAGCTGCTTGTTGTTGACAGGCGTACTCGTTATATTGCCTGTAGCAACCTGTCCATTGCTTATAATGATCGAGTGGAAACTTGATACGGACAATTCTGCCAATAGCAATGTCTCGCATGATGCTGATAGTCCTACAAAAATAACAAAAGAATTTTGAATAAAAAGTAACTCTTGGAAATCCAGATATCTCATCACTAATTTTGTTTGTTTCCTTAAATTTAGATTAAGAGATTAAAATAAGAAAGGTTTTACCTTGTTGTTCGATGCGATCATTATTTGGATCTGTCCAGCTGACGAAAGCAATAGCAAACCAACTTCCCAATTGAGGACCGGGTATATCAATACGGTGTCGCTTTTGATCAGACTGAAACTGTAGACTATATACCTTATATCTAAAAACAATTTTGGAATATTAATTAATCAAGAAGATATGTTATCAACATTTAAAGTATATTTCCCATTGAAATGTCCTTTTCTATTCTATTCTACGAATTCATCTAGTCTAGCAATTAAATCAGGGAGTTAGCATTTCCTGTAGAGCATCGTTTAAAAAAAAATCGAAGTCCGTAATATTTTATATTTGTGTTTAATTCCCTTTTAGTAGTTGTAGTTGTTATTTTCTAAATTTACTATTATTTTGGAGCATTTTTAAAGGAGGGAATCGTTTTTTTTTTTTTTAGATAGTTTTTGTGTTACATTCATTGACTGGGAGATAGTGTGCAGAGTAGTAGTCATTGAGTACCATTCACTCTAAGTGACCTCTAATGCCATTTCGATTCACGTCCAGAAGCAACGAATAAAATTTTTACTAATACTTAAAGTTAAGGAAAAAAAGTGAAAATATAATATCGTACCGTAACTCAATTTTTATAATAAATCTAACACTTTAGTAACTGTTATAATCTTTGGATTTA